AATAGAGTTAATGTTACTGAAGCTACAACTCAGATGATTTCAACAGCACCTAGGAGCTAGGTAAGAGAGCAGAGGGAAGCAGGGGCCAGCTGACAGGCTCGCAGCAGGTTCTAGGAAGGGAAGGCAAACTTACAGGTCTGCTGAGGTGCCTGATATAGAAATACTGAATGAAAAGGTGAGGGCAAAATATTAGCTGACTAAAGTCAGGATGGCGATCTTCAAAGGAAAGACTAGTGTGCAAATAAATCCTTATTATATAAAGAGCTCTTTGTAAATGAATAAATCAACTATAAATGACACAAAGTAAAAAAAAAAAAAATGTACAAAAGACTCCAAGAGACTACTGCCCAAAGAGGTAATGTAAGTGACCAAAAGATATGTAAACAAATGTCCAGGGCTCCAATAATCAAAGCCAGACTTTTTTCTTTTCTTTTTTTTTTTTAATGTAACAATACACACAGCCACTGAGGGTACAGGGAAATAGTAATTCTCTTACTAAGATGTCTGTTTCCTGGGAACTAGGCTTTCAGCACCAAAAAGGAAAACCCCAGGCTGGGGTGTACCTAGTATGCATAAGGCTGTGAGTTTGATCCCCAGAGCCAGGCTCAGGCAGACAGACAGATAGACTCAGGCAAAACAGGATGAGTGACTCCATTTAAGATGGGATTAGAAACTAAAACAGCTATTTTGAAGTGCTCCAGTTACAGGAGCAATAATCCTTTTTACAAACAAGTATCCTTTTGACCTAAAAATTCCACTACCTGAAAATAATTCCAAAAAGATGTTTGTCAACAAATATTTACTGAGATTCAGACATGTACTAGGTATGAACTGGATGCTGGGGATACTAAGATATACTTCTAAGAATTATCTCAGGTTTTTGTAACAAGTAAAAATTGGAAATGACATGAGTGTTGAACTAGAGATGATTTAAATACAGCTAGTTTCATCTTCAAAGTGAAATATTCCAAACACTAAAAATGATGTTGTACAATTTATTAACCGGGAAACATGGATGTGCTGCATTGTTAAATGGAAAAAAAGCAAATTCACACATTACACCAGGAAATAATCCTAACTTGCGAATAAGAAATACATGTGGGAAACAAATTCCTGACAGGATACACCCCAAAATGTTAACCATGGTTATCAGTGAGCGCTATGATAAAGAGGACACCTTGTTGCCTTCTTCTGATTCATCTGTATTAAGCGTTTTCTCCATAATAAACACAGATTACACAGTAAATTTAAAAACTTTTGAAATCCGACAAAAAAGCCAATTACTTTAAATAACAACTGCAATGTACTGGTGATAAAAGGCCCTAAAGAAGGGGGTCATAGGGCCTTATTTTCTCCATAGTTGCTTTGCTTACTGAGAACCTACTTCCTGCCAGGCTTTGGAGATGTTTGTATGCATCCCCTTCAATTATCAGGGGAGAGGATGGATGGAAAGGATATATAGGATCTTGCCTCCTTTACCTCTGGCCCTGCCTGCCTCTAGCCCTGCAAGCCCCTTAGCTGCCCCCTGCCTGCCCTTGGAAAGAGCAGAGAAAGATCCAGAGTCACAAGGCCCTCTCTTCCAAAGGCTGGCTCATCATTACAGACAGGAGAACAGGCCAACAAAAGAGGGGGACAGGTCAGTAAGGGAGGGGACGTCAGCAAAGGAACAGTATGGTGCCGAAGGCCAGCTGGCTGAGGTCAAGGCACAGACTAGCCAGGGGACTCCTCGCCTGTCAGGCGACTTTCAGGAAGCTGGACCACATCCGGTCCCAGGAGTTCCCAGACCTAATGCACCCAAGACAGGGAAAAAACTCATGAGGCCTGAGGCGTCCCTCCGAAAAGGAAGAAGAGTGCACCTTCTGGGATAAACACCCCCCCCACCCTTCCTCCTACCCCACTTGGGGACTTCAGGCCAGTCCTTTATCTGCTCTCGGCCTCCTGAAGTGGATGAGGAGGAGGCTGAGGACAGAGGACTCCAAGACCTTCCCAGATCTGAATATTGTGAATCTATGGGACTTCCTCACAGAGGACCTGACAGGAAGAGGAAGGGGCAAGGTGCCTCCACCCAGAGCCCCCTCCTCTTCCCTTTAACAGTGTTCCCACTGCTATTTTTAGAACAGTCCACAGGGAGCAGAGTGTCTCTGCCAGCCCCCACCACACTCCTCACAAGGCTGAGCTCCAGGTAGAACACAGCAGTCCATTCATTCTGCTCCAGGGAGAACGTGCCAGGAATTTCTAGACAAGTAGGCTGACTAGACAGCGCCCCACGCCATCAGCCCATCATGGAGCTGGCTGCTGTTTCCATTAAAGCCAGAGTGGGGGACTTTCTAATAACAACACTGAGTTACTGAGTGAGGTAAAAAGCCTTCTGCGACCATCTGCATCCCCTCTATACCCCGAGCCTGGCAGATCTTCAAGTCATCAACTATGTGCCCTTGGCCAAGTTCTAGCTCTCCCTTGGTCCTGGTCTCTACAAATCAGCTTGTTAAGCTGTTGATCTCAGTCAGACACAAGGGAGGCTTTTAGCTCTCATTCATAGTCTATGGTTCAACCAAAAGTCTAGTTATTCAAAACACACTATATTATCCATTTTAAGGTATGTGTTAGGTTATGTTCCCAAAGACTTCTAAGAGTTGAATGTGGGTCTCAGAATACATTTTACCATTGAAGACTATCCTAAATGGTGGTTTGTCTCTTAGGCTAGCCTACATTAACCCTTAATGTTTCATTAAGGAAACCTCCCACAACACTATTCTATTACAGTAACAGTATTAGCCACGGATGGGGAACAACTAATGTGTAAAAGAGCCCTCTATAGAGGCTCGTCCGTAGCCATGAATGACAGATGTTAATGGCGATGAGAAAGATGCTGGAGGCTTCTACAAAGGCCTGCAGGAAGCTAAGGGAGTACAGATTGATTGTCACCAGTTCCTGTGGAAAGTGAGCCTGAGGCTCAGTGGGGCATTAGGGCCGGTTAAAGAGCGCATGTGCACACAAACATGCATGAAGTCAAACGGAGTCCAGGGTATGCTGTGCATTGTGAAGGGCAGGGGCCCGGGGAGGAAATGGGTTGGAAGGCAAATTGAGCTAGCTCCTGTGGGAGCCTAGAAGAGGTATCTTTGGAGGATAGGAAGCGGGAATGCACTTCTCACTTAGATGGCTATAATTAGCTCCCCTTCCAGTATGACACCCATAGCACATCTCTGGGCTCTGGGAGCATGATGACTATTAGCCAGTGTCTGCAGATCACCACACGCATGCACTCCTATTTCAAGGTACAACCTAAGGCATCTGTCTTCCTCCTCTAAACTGTTCTCAGAGTCCTGTGGCTCCGAACGCTGCCCATCCTTCCAACTGAAATGCCAGTATCAAGGGTCTGGGTATAGATCTGCACCAAGGAATAGTCAGATAAAGAACCTGAGCCCAGTCCTGTTTTGTGACAGGAGCAGCCACTCTACCCTGATCTTAAGGACTATATTCTAGTAGTTTGAACTCTGATGACTCCTGGAAACTATCTATGTTCAACACCCTCATTTTTCTTGGTAAGGAAACAGATGACCAGAGATGTGAAGTGATTTGTCCAAGATCATAAGTAAGTACCAGACAAGTTGGTACTCAAGTTCAGAGCCTGAAAATCCTCATCTGGTTTTCTCAGAGACAATAAGCTCATTGAAAGGGAAGCTCTCAGACCTGTAGAACAGAACCACAGAGGCAGTTCTGACAGACTTGCTTTCCTCTGGGAATGCCCATATGAGCATGGGAATAAGGTAAAACCCTTGACCCTGATGCAAACTGACCAAGTGGGGAGGCAGGCCTGCTCCGGTATCTACAAAGCTGTGGAGCAACACCCTTGACCCTGATGCAAACTGACCAGATTGCTTCATAGACCAAGTGGGGAGGCAGGCCTGCTCCGGTATCTACAAAGCTGTGGAGCAACCATAAAAGTTCTCAGCCAAGAGTGTCACCTGACTGTAGCTCTAGCCCTGGCTCTGACACCAACTTGCCCATGACCCTGGGCAAAAAGTCACTTCCCATTTTGGGGACTGTTTCTTCATCTCCATTTTTAAATAGAAAGAGGATTCCACTGAACAGACTAACTTTACATCCCCTGAGCACCTCTTATGGGAGAATGAATGATAAATAAGCAGTGGCCTCCACTTGCTCCCAAAGAGTTTGTGGATGACATAGAGCTAGCTGCCTGATAGGCCATGCTGAGGTGGAGAGAGTCAAAGAGGCAAGCTCTCTCTTGCCCTCCACTGGGCTCAGGTTAAGGTTTCTGTCCTACTGCATTGATGCTCAGGCAAGCAGTTTGGTCCCTGAAGCTAATCCTGCCTGCCTCTGCCACAAGGTCCCCCAAGATGGAGACCCTGATCCTCCGGAAAGCTAGACTCAGAAGGGGGAAAGGGGCACAACCTAGGATTCCAGGACCTCCTGAGAGAGGATTGCTCAATTCTGCCTTTCACGTCAGACTTTTTTCACATCTCGTGGAAAGCGATTTTTCCCCCAGCCCGAGCCACCGCCCAGGGCAACCAATACTCCACCAGGTGGCCAATAAGGCACCTTCAATTTACTGAAAGCACTCTTCCTCAGCAAGGTGAGCCAAGACATACCTGTACCTGCCTCCTGCCTCTTCCAGGAGCTGATGAATGGCCTTTCTTATTTATGTCACTCAAGGCAAACCTTTGCACCCACAAAGGACAATGAACTAGGCCTCTTACTGGCCACGTAATATAGGCCTAATCATTTAATTTCTTGGAGACTTGCTTTGCTTCATTCACAGAATGAAGCTGTTTAGGAGTCACAAAGCCTGGTGCCTCCCCCACCGCCATCTCCAAAGCACATGTTCACTGTTGGGGTTCTCCCTGTGGAGAGCCCTTCACATACCAAGACTGCCCTGCCTCCACTTTATAAAACCTTCTTGGAGTCGAATGTAGTTAGTATGGGATTTGACGGCAAAAGTTAGGGGGAAAATTAAAATAAAAAACAGTAAGACATAAATATAAGCATCACCATTCCCAAAAGGTCTATGTTGTCCCAGTTCCCAAAGGGCCAAAAGTCCTGGGCATGACAGCTTACAACAGAGATAAGTTGGGGACCCAAAGCCTGAGACATAGTAAACATGAAATGGGATCCGAGGGTGTAGAGGGAACTAAAAGGGTCACTTTGTATTCAAAGCGCACAGATGGCCTTTCAACAATAAATGGTTGTGTTCCCATCCCTTCCCAGCTCCCAGGCCCAAGACATCCACCCAAGACAATTGGCCCATCAGGAAAGAGGTCATTGTGTGCTTTTAGCGTGATTTATGTTGCAGGGAGGGGCCCAGTCATGTTTCCCGTGATTATGACTCTCCAATGCAATGTCCAGGGCTTGTTCGTCCTCCTGAACAGCTGGGATGGACTGAAGAGCAGTGGCCTCCAGGTCATATTTCATCTTCTTGGGCCCTTGACGCCAAATTAATTGCTATATTGATTCATGAGGCAGGGCAGCCATGGTGCTGTGGCTCACCACAGTTGCTGAGCAAGTTAGCCCAGGACCCACCAGGGGGGCCTGTTCTCTTTCCCATCAGCCAGCAGGCCTGTGAGCTTGATGGGAGTGTCTGTTCCACACAAGAGTTTGCAATGCAAGCTAGGAGGAATGTCCCAGCCCCAGGGCTGGGTGCTGCATTCAGAGCCTCCATTTCTCTGTGACTCTTGTTGTCTGCACCTGCTTGATGGACAGAGTTAGGTCACTGGACCCAGGAGAAGCAAGCTTGCTGACTTCCCAGGTGCAATTCTCCTGTGCCTCCCATCCCCCTTAATGTCATTGTGTAAGAGAATCAAATGAAATCTAAGTACAGCTCGCTGTCTGAGCTGCTTAGCTGTTCAGATTCCCCCTGCAGGCCAAGCGCTGGCTGGCAATGGTGCTGAGCATCTCTTGTCCCAGGCCAGGCAGCATCTTTTCCTGCTGGGTGGGGCATTAGCCTGACACCTACAGCTCCACCCCTCCCCCATTAAACTGCTGATTCAACATGTCTCATCTTTCCTACGCTGGGAGGAACATACACGGGAAATAAGAAACATGCTCTCTTCTAGGCCACCATTTGGGGGTTCAAGTGGTCCCAGCAGTTTAGGAAACTCACAAGAACTTAGGAACCTTCTCTAAATATGCTGACATGATAACTCAATGACCAAGGTCGGGGCTTCTTTGGTCTTGGTCATCTCTCTGACCCCACACACACACTCGCCGTACCTACACCTACAGGTACCCTTTTGCAGATGGCTTCTGTCCCTCCAATCCACAGCCTTAGGATTCCTTCCTTACGGACCTCACAGTTAGGAAAGGCTGTGACAGCTGCCCAGCCCCGAGCTCTGGCTGAGGTGGGCAGAGAGTGGGCTGGATTCTTTCCTGCCCCTGCACAGCCTTCTGCCCTGTCTCTGTGAAGATTGCTGAGCTACATCTAGCCATGGGTCCCTGACCCTTAGGAGCACTACAGAAAGCAAACAAAGCAGTTCCCAGAGTGAAAGGCTCTGGCTTCCCACCAGACCTCTCAGCATCAGAGGGTGACTGCAGGCAATCTCTGTGAAGGCTGGGGACTATGAATTGTCCCACCTCAGCAGGCTGAGTTTCACTGCTCCCAAAGCCTATGGATAGGCTCAGCACTGGCCCCTAGCTCTGACATGACCAGAAAACCTCTGTGATGGAGGCCCAAACTTCACATCACTGAGAGAGCAAAGCACAGTGGAGGATGAGGGCAAGTGATGGTGAGGAAATCATCGCTTCTCATTCCAGAGCCTTGCATTCACATACCTGCCATCCAAGTACCCTCTAAATAAGTCACCATCGTCCTTCCTCTGGAAGCCTAAGGGGAGCCCCAACTGATCTCACACCCACTTGGGCCCCTCCCATCTGAAATCTGATCTTGTAGAAATGTACCTGACCTTCTGTGGCTCCCTTTCTCACAAGCCTTCCACGGCTCCCCACTGTATATAGGAAACTCGATAATGTATTCACCGTCTAAGCCCTGCACAGTCTGGCCCTCACTGCATCTTCCTCCTCACTAAACTACAGCCACACCAGCCTCCCTCCACTCTAAGCTCCTTCTCATCTCAGGAACACTTCATATACTATTCCCACTGCCTGAAAGGCTCTCTCCTAAGTCCTTGGCTTCCTGGCTCCTTTCTAGCCCATAGGCCTCAGCTTGCAAGCTACGTCCTTCCTCACTGTACCCCATACACAGCAACTAGACCCCATACCATCTAAAAGCATCTGTGGTGTTCCTGCATAGACTCTCCCAGTGTATGATCACATATTGGTGTTGATTTATTTAATGCCTGCTTCCTGTTGGGACTGGGATCTTGATGGAAGCACAAGCCATGTGCATTTGGTTCTACACAGTATCCCCAGGCCCTCGCACAGATACTGACACAAAGGAGATGCCCCCAAATGGTCACTGAATGAAGAAATGAATGTGTCCAGATGAAAGACAAGTGGGCAGGTGAGATGTCTTCTGGTGGGAATGGGTCATGGCATTGTTCTCCATTGGAATGACCTCTCCCTCTTGCCTGAGGTGCCCAGAAAGTGCCCAGGTACCATTCAGCCTCCTTCTGCTTGAAGGGAACTTGCTTTCTGAGTCTTCTCCATCCAGGACTTCCTGGTGCCAGTCTGCACATGCCCACAGGGCCTCTCACACCACCGTTCATCCTGTTGCCAGTCTACACACACTCTTGGTACCACTTCCTTCAGATGACCCTAGGCCCACCATCTTGGTCTTCCATTTGGGGTCCAGTTGAAGTGAGGTTACTGTGTGGTAGGGGATGCCCCAGAAAGGGTTAAGTTGTCAGAAGCACAGTCCCGCCCTTGGGCTTGCTCAGCCAATCAGAGTCTGTTCTGATGAGGTAAAGCTTCTATCCTGGGTGGCACTGATGGAGGTTATGGGCCCCATCTCCTGCTGGAGAGAGCCGTAAGGGTGGAGTTTCTGTGGAACCAGATAGAACTGGAATTAGCTTGCTGTCCACTCAGAGACCAGGGTTGCCTGACTCCACAACCTGCCTCTGGTCTCTTTCTAAGGTACTCAGACAGTCCCTGGCATCTCTGAGACCCATCTCTAGCTGTCCCAGAGAAGATAGCAAGGTGGTGCACACTTGAGTGTCGTATCTGGAAACTTGAGAACACCCAGAAGGCCTCAGTTTCCCTGTCAGGACTCTGGAATCTGGCAGGTAGCTACCAGGAAGTGTCAGGGAGCAGTTGTCACATGAGCTTAGAGCACCAGTGTCCACATCAATAAACAAGGATACAAATGCATCATCCTACACAGACACACTGACAGACGATGAGAGAGACAGCATGTGGTTCATGAGGGCCTTGCACCTGCCACTGTGCCCTGCACAGCCCCAGGTTGATCCTCACAGGACCCTGCTACTCCATCCACTTTGCTGATGAGAAGCAGTCTCAGGGTGACTAAGCAGCTCTCCAAAGCTCACATGGCTGCACTGTCATTTGAAACTATCTGATGCTGTATCTTTCCCCCCATCACTAGCTTGTGATCTCCAAGGAGCAAGTATGATAAACTCCTCCTTAGAGCCAGTGTTGCCCAGGACCTACCTGAGAACAGGGTTAGTCTGGGCTGCATTGCACTCCCCTTTCTACCCCTCAGCCCCCGGAGAGCTGGGGCAAGACTACTCTGTTCAGAAGATTCTGAGCTCAGCCTGGAAGCAGCTTTATTGGTGAAATAGTGGGAGGCTCGCTGCTGACCACAAATGGGCAGTCAGGACTCCCTGGAACACTCTTAGACCTGCAGGCATAGGCTCCAGTGCCCTTGTTAGAGCCTTCCAATTAGAAGTCCTTAAGGACCAGGATGAAGTGTCATTCATCTCTGTGACCCCAAAGGATCTAAAGCAGTGTCAAGTACAGAGGACGCATTCATCATGTGTTTTTGATTGAATAACTAAAACCATATAGATCTGCCTCTCTCTGGCAGCTTCAAGCCTCACTGGCCACACCAGGGACCAGCTCTGAGCTGATCTAATGAGAAGTATCACAGTAGTGCTGAGAGTGCAACACGCAGAGCGTGGTCCATGTTATCCCAGGCAGAAGAGAGGAAAATGTCCTCCAGGGACTCATAATGAAGCAAGAGAGGGGCAGAGTTCTAAAGGAGGAGGAGGGATGCTGAACAGGAGAAAGAAGCTGGAACAGGACAGGAGGCAGATCATTTATTCCCAAAGAAGAGAACCTTCCAGGGACTGGGGAGGCTAGAGTACTTCCCCAGCATGCACAAAGCCCTGGGTTCAGTTCCCAGCACTGCATAAACTGGGTGTGGTGGTGTACACCTCTAATCCCAGGACTTGGGAGGCTGAGGCATGAGGATCAGAAATTCAAGGTCATCATCAGTTACGTATGGAGTTTGAGGCCAGCCTGGGCTACCTGAGTCCCTACACACACACACACACACACACACACACACAGTACCATGACCCTGCACCGCCAGCTCACAGACCATAGGCACCCTAGAAACAACCCAGAAAGCCTCTACCCACCTTCCTCCCGACCCCAGAGGAGAGCAGACTGGCCCCAAAGCAGCAGATGTCACAGGAAGTTGGACAGAACTCTCCAGAGTGTAGTTTCCTAAGGGTGACAATTGTCCCAGGGCCCTATACTTTCACAATCACAAAGCTTGAAGGGCCAGGAAGAGCCACCTGACCCATGCACAGATGGGCCCAAGGCCAGTGTAGGAAGTGGTTACCACAGGTTATACTGCAGGTACAGTCACACAGCCTGTCTACTATTCTTTAAGTCCATCCTCTCCATCCCCTACATCTTCCTGACAAGCATCATTGGCCCTTCTCAGGGCAAATCACCATTTGTCACTGTGAATCGGGGAAGGGCTTTACCACTCCAAGTGAGCAGCAACATGGTGGAGAGGAGAAGGAGCCAGGTGGGAAGAGGCAGTAAGAGAGTCTGGGGCTTGCTTTGTGAGCCCCTCTTTCCCTGGAGAGGCCTTGGAATGGGGTGGGTGCCTTGATAGCAGTGTCCTCAGTTTGGCGGGGGGCAGAGTGTTCATGGAGAGAATAGAAAGGGGGAAAGGCATGGTGTCAGGCATCACTCCAGCAGGATTTCATGCCTAACAGCAAGAGCCAGCCTCTGAGCTCTGCTTGGCCTTCCTGCTCCTCCCCTGAAGGACAGTGTCCTTCATGGATAAGCTGGGGGGAGATAAGCCCTTGGGAAGGACGTTTACAGTCACCCTGCTGAGCCTGAGTATAGGTGGATGAAAGATGAGCTCAGCCATGAAAGTTGCTAAAGTGTGTCTGGACTGATACAGGGCTGAAGAGATCAAATTTGATAGAACTTCTCTCAGGAAGCATTCTGTAAGTGACTTGAAGGAATACATTGCTACAATTCCTTGAGTGGGAATGGTGCAGGTGCAGCTGGGGAAGGATGAGCAGCAAGACTGCTAGGGGCCTGCTTCAGGAGAGTCAAGTGCTTCCATAATTGCCTCCCTGGAAGAGTGGACCAAAGAGATATGTAAGTCTGGGCCCAGGCCCACAGAGTAGCTTTGAAATTGATCTAGTGGCCAGGCCCTCCCCTATCTTCTCTTGCCACCTCCCTCCCACAGACATACAGCTGTTCTGCTAACAACACACTTATAGAGCTGGTACATTAAGGTGTCTAGACTGTTGCCTGCCCAGGATGCCAATGTATTTGGGGGTAAGTTGGGGAGCAGAGCCCTTTCAGGGTCAGCTAGCTAAACCCATAGCAGTGTAGGGGGACAGAGCCTATGTGAATCACAGGCTGCCTTTAGGCACTGCCAGTGTCCCCAGGCAAGCCTGAGATGAAGAGTGTCTCCAATGCATTGGAGAAGCTGTGGTCAGCACTCTCCAGAGTAAGCAAACTCGAGTTGAGGCACCAAGAAGTTTTCCCCCAGAACAGAGGAACTAGGTCTACAGAAAAGGAACACGTGCCAATTTGGTGTCCTGGGAACTACCCGAGTGAGAGGAAAATGACTTACACTCTATGGTCAACCCAGATCCGTGGGGAAAGGCCATGTTGATGAAGGAATGTGACAGTGGGGAACAGCCAGTGCCACCTGGGATAGGGTTGGGGAACGGTGTATCCACACAGCATTCACTGAGTGAGCACCTATTGCATACTAGATGTATACCACAGACTGTATATGCGCTCACATTTAATATTTACAACAACCTTTTGGGGGAGGAACTACTGTCCCCAGATGATTGATGGAGACATAAAAGCACAAAGCAACAGGATGACTCACCCAAGGCTACACCGGCAATCGGCAAGATACCTTTCAAAGTCTGGGATGGGGCAATTCTCCGATCCTCATCTCCCTTGCTACTTGCTGGTGGACTATTGTCTACCATTGGCAGGAGAGGCCACCAGCCACCTCCACCACATGCTCTGCACATGCCAGGGGCACATGGCATGGTGGCCTGAACACGCCAAGTAGCAACAAGGCCCACAGGTTCACAAACCGCAATTCCTTCTCATTTCCTCTTTTCCCTGAGAAACAGCAGAGCTACTACCTTGGCCAATTTTTGCAGCCACCACCCAAAAACCCAAATGGCCAGTACTTACAGCAAGAAAAGAGACCCAAACAATTTATAACAGGGGTAAACAACTGTGCCTTGTGGCTAGCATCCATGTGTCAAAGGAGCAGGCTATGGTTCAGTTCCCCTTCCATCCTATCCCATCCCCTCCCTAGGCCCAGAGCTGTGCTGGCTGAGCACAGCCTCCACTGGCCATCTCTAATTTTCCCTGGTGCTCCAGCTGGCCAGTTCCAGTCCTCAGCAGTCCAAAGTCAGCTCTACCTGGTCTGGTCAGCATCAAACTATGGTGTTCTGTCACAAACATCCTCTCAATTATGTCTGCCTTGGGCGGACTTTAACAGCAGTGTGCTGCCACTAGACACAACATACCCAGTGGCAGAAGGGATATTTAAATCTTGCCATCGGCAAAGCAAAGAGTAGAGCTGAAAATTGATGCTCAAAGTGGTCATTGCTCTCCCCAACCAACATCAAATCCACTCCATAGACCCATGGAAAATCCTGGGGAGAAACACTTGAACACAGGCCTTCTGCCAAGCCCAGAGCAATGTCAGACCCACTCCATAAACCCACGGAAAATCCTAGGGAGAGACACTCGAATGTAGACCTTTGGCCAAGCTCACCACCAGATCTAAGGGCTAAGCTCAGGGTGACTCCCAGCTCTAATCTGAGGCTCAAAGGCTAGGTCAGCAGAGGGTAAGTGTTGGTACCCAGGGCCATAGACACCAGCAAGGCCCTTACCTTCCTCTCCAGTGGTGATGCTGCCAACTGTTGCTGCTTGGCGATGTTCTCCGACAGACACCAGCACACTCTCTTCTTCTGCTCCTGTGAGTGAGCCTCCAAAGTGAACAAGCACTCTGCCTTCTGATGTCAGAGAGAATAGAGAAAAGGATGGGTAGTCAGGACTACTCCCTGACTCAAGGGGCTCCAGGGCCCAAGCCCATCCCCAGGCTCCAGAGGGCAAGGCTATAGCAGGGAAGGGAGCATCCGCTAAGAGCTGCAAATGCACACTAATCCCTGGTGACATGAAAGCAGCCACAGGAGCAGGGAAGTAGAACCATCTGGGTGCCACAGGTCCATGGGTAGGGGAGGGGAAGGAGAGGGAGGCAGTGGCTCCCAACACAGTGGAAGCCTGTGGAGAGCTACAGGATTGAGGGTGAGGTCACCCTTGGGGAAGGCAGCACAAGGCAGCAGCTAGGGAACAAGGGCCAAGGCCTTGAGCTGGTGCTCTGTGGATACAGGACCCTCCTGGCAGCTCACAGAACCCCTCTCCCTCACACATAATCCTTAGATGGGCCAAGGTGAGATGGGTTGGATGAATACAGCAACAGAACCCAAACAGAACTTGAGTCACTTTGGAAAGTACTGGACCCTTCTGCAGCCCCACTACTGCCTGGCATCTAGGCTGGGTCTCTCATCAAATACTGTGCAGTGGGCAGCAACATCAGCCTGGCTGTCACCTGAATCCTGCTAAATACAAACACTCAGAAGGCCCTCTTCATTGAGCCTAACACAGTGCCAGGTAAGCTCTGGTCTTGGTAAACTCTGACTGTCTGGAGGAAGTTCCAGGATGAGGACAGACCCAAGCCTCAGACAGTGAGCCCCTAAAGCAGTCAGGACATGCAGGGTGCAGGACTACCACCACTAGGTGCTTGGATCAGAGGGTGGTGACAGGTTCATTCACACACCACTAGAACTGATTATAAGCCCACGGACTGAGATTAAGTACACTCAGCCAGGGAGCTAAGAACATGAACCAGGGGGAAAAGATCGTGTGTCTACCCAGTTTCCCTGTTTTGTAGGCCTGGTCTGAATCCAAACTTTGCTATTTCTTAACTCCCAACCTGTAGAAAGTCAGAAACTTTCTGCAAAACAGTGACATTACCTCCATCCCAGAGCCATAGGCAATAAGGACCATCGCAGGCTTCAACGCACAGCGCTATTGTTATTTTTCAGTAGTTCATTCATTTAACAAATGTTTTTTAAACACCTACTATGTGCCAGTGGCTGTGCTAGGCAATGGAGATAAAGAGGTAAACGAATAATATAGATAATAAACAAAGAAATAAACAACGTCACAGAGGTCATAAATGGGAAGGTGGTACTTGAGACTGAGGTGATCAGGGAAGAGATAACAGGAGCAAAGATTTGAATGACAAGGAGAAACGAGCAAGGAAAGTCGTTCTAGGCAAAGTGGCAGCGAATGCGCAAAGTGGTGCTGGCTGTGGTTATTGCTAGTGTCTAACAGCATATCTGGGGACTTCTACCCTGCATCCAATCTGATCCTCCACACTGTGTCCCCAGGGTGCCAGCCATTCCTCTCCTGATGAAAACTACTCAGCTGCTGATCTTCTTAAAAGCACAGGGTAGAGAGAACTGGGAGGACGAACTGCGATAAATCCAGGCTTCCACTTAAAGCCAGGTCTCTCTACTTACAAGAATGCTCCTGCCCACCGAAGGGCGAACCAGGCCCCAAGATTCTCCAGGGGAAGGCTGATGAGCAGAGGGCCTGTGCTTTCTGCCCCATGGTGTCCCCTGAGATTGGAACTATAGTTTTTTCTAGGTTGGAAATGTCATCACTCTACAAACCTGGCCCAGCCTGAGCTTCTCAGCCCTGCTCTCAAATTTGCCTCTGCAAATTCCTTAATCTCTATATAATTATCAATTTTATAAGATCCTCTCCCATCTGTGATCTCATTTTGATCTTAGCAATTTCATGAAGAAGTTGAGAGAGCATGGACTTTTTATGTTTTTATTTTATTTTATTTTTTGTAGTGCTAGGAACCAAAACAAGTTCTTGTATGTGCCAGGCAGGCACTCTACCAGTAAGACACACCAGCCCTTGATTTTTTTGAGAACCGATCTCATGATTTAGCTCAGGATGGCCTGGAACTCACTATGTAATGCTCAGGAACACATGATCCTCCTGCCTGCCACCTCCAGATTAAATACATGTACTACCACACCCAGCTGAGGTGTGGGTTGTTATTCCTCTTTATGGAAGGGGAAAACCAAGGTGCAGAGTGTCCAAGAGCCTCTCCAGGTCTCATGGCCAACAAACCAGCAAGAAGATACTGAGCCTAGGAGAACCTCTTGATGGGACTTCATCTCCAAACTCAGTGAGATGTCATATCACCTAGTGAGGATTCCACACCCCTGACTAGCAGGACTGTTCTGTTTCAGAGGCGGGCCTAGAGGCAAGTGGAGTGCCAGTCCATCAGAAGGAACTGTATGTAGGTCACAGAGCCCTCTCAGCAGCTCTGGAGTTTACCAGTAGCTTTCCGTATGAATGTTTTCTGCTCCAGCATGGAGACTCTCTCCCCACAGGGTGCAGTTGATATTTCTTACAAAAACTTGTAAGGAGCATCTGTGATTGCTCCTTTTTACTGACCACCCCTTAGGAAAGGCCTGACACTCTATCTGGGATGACAACCAGGCTATTTGTAATGATTAAATGGGATTTGTAGGACACTGCAACCAGCTACTTCATCTACAGATTCCCTTGGCATCTCCTTTGGAAAGTGATGTTTCCCAATCAGGAATGGTGCCATTAACTGCTGGTCTGAGAAGCAGAGGGCAGGACTGGATCTGACAGCTTGAAGGGTTCAGAAGGCTTCCTAGGCACCCAGGACCTAACCTTAGGCCTGGCTCTGGGTTAGGGTTAGCTGGCTGTCTTCAATAGACAAACGTTTTGGAAGGAGTCTTGAGTTTTGAAGACTAGCTTAGTCGAGAGAGAGAGAGAGAGAGAGAGAGAGAGAGAGAGAGCGCGCAAGCTCTCTTCAGGGAGGCTGAATCCCCATCTGCCGAAATCTGTCCGAACTGTGAGTCCTCGCTGCCTGCCTGGTTGCCCCCACATATGAACCAGCTGTCTTAATCCTGTGTATGCTCCCAGTGGCCCAACTAGTTGGTTTCAATGCTGACTTGCTTAGTACCTTCAATACCAGACTCCAGGGTCAAGGCCATAAGCCATCATGAAGGCATCCTCATGCAGTTCCCTCAGAGGCAGAGCCTTCTGACTATAGGAGGTGCTCAACCCAGCACAGCCCTGACCCTGCGGCCCTGGGTGGGGACAACTACACTCAAACACGGCCTCAAATCCAACCAGAGTCCCAGTTTCCCTTGATCTCTTTAAAACCCCCGTCTTGCCTAACCTCCTTGCTCCTGAATTAATTTTATCTTTGTAAAAACCAAAACTGCTTCAGCTCTGACTGGTGTGTTTATTTGCCATGCCAAGCATGTGCCATTCCATTCTCTCCTGATGACTCTAGGAGACAGGGAAGAAAGGTACAGCTGTTGCCATTCTAAAGATGAGAAAACTAAAGGTCAGAGGGGTCAGATCTTAAGGAGAGCTTGCCAAGTTTGTATAACTATATACAAGTGGTACAAGGAATGTGAGAGGGTCCACCTAGCTTTCCTTTTAAAAGATCAGTAAGTCATTTGTGATACCTCTAATGGGAGGTAAATGAATGTGAAAAGCACTTCCTGCTCTGAGCTGACTGACAGAGCTGCCTCTTATTGAGCACACTTAGTGCTGCACTCTGGGCTAAGTGTTTTAGATGTGTTGTCTTATTGAATCTCATTTAAAACTTTATAACTCTGTCCTGCAAGGAAGGTCTTGCCACCTATGTCAGAGGATGTAACTTGTCCCAGATCACTCAGGAAATGGCCCCAAAGTTCACACTACTCAAGGCATGGAGCTAGCCCCACATTCCAGAAAAGGGAGAATGGATACTGAGGGCTGTGTCCCCAGTACCCAGTGTCCCCAGTGCTCTGAAGCCAACTGTTGGCTGCATTTGTCCCAAGGACTTACAGGAACTGAGGGACACCCATCCCAGGGACGAGGACCCAGGACTTGTTTGAAGAAAGAATCTAAGCTGCTGGGCCCCAGGGCATTTGGGGGCTTTCTTAATGCAGAGGGGAAAACCTTCTCCAAACCCCAGCTCCACCCCCAGTTTCTTCTCAGGGTGCCACTTGCATGTCAGGCAATGAAGAGAAATTACCTAATAGAAATTCCAACTAAGGTATGTTTGGGGATCTCCATGGGCCCCAAAGCCACCTGTATCAAGAATGTCTCCAGAGCAAGCAAGCAGTGTTTCTTCTCTGCATCACAGGCTTGCCTCTCATAAATAGCAGCCCATTAAGAAGAGAGGCTCCCAGCTGCCTGGGAGCTGTACTCTCCTAGCCCCTCGGGTCAGATCACCTGGCAGTTTCGGGAAATCCAAGACCTCAAATCGATATCCTTTCACTAATCTTTAGGGAACTAAAAAGGAGGTCTCAGATGTGCTTTTCTCTGAGGAAAAAAAAAAAAAAGTCTGGCAAGAAGTTCTCTTGGTGTTAGAGAATTAGAACCTCTTTTCAAAAGTTTCCCAAGCTTTTGAGGAGCCAGAAGGATGGCACTGGGTGGGAGGGGTAGCCGGTGGGACACAGTCCTAGCATCCTTTCTTGTCCGTGCTATGCTTACCTGGCTGGGTGGAACTGACATCCTCCAGTGCCGAAGGGGTTTTTTACCAGCTACTCCTTGTGCCTGGGTGGGGATGTGGCAACCATAGGGAAGTCCCTCCATGGCCCTCAGGTCTACTTTCAGGCAGCTGAGTCCCCAGCTCAGCACCCCTAAAGAAAACTTCTCGGAAAGCTGTCTTATCCCTAGGGTATGTTCAAAGGTTCACCCCAGGATGTAAACTTATCTTGTCAGAAACTGAAGGAATGCTTTTCAATCACAAAAGGGTATAAATTCCTTCTCAGGATGTATTCCCCTTGGCTAGCCCTTTAGGGATGGCCAGGGTAGACCCTCCCACCCAAACAGACAGGCTCCCAGGATGGCTGGTAAGACACACTGTAGCAAAGGCAAAGGGCAGGCAGGAATGGGCCTTGCTTAGGCAGATGTCACATTATCAGAACAAAATTGGGACTGAAAACTGAAAAAAATTTGGATGGCTCCATGGCCCTCCAATTCTTCATCACTAAGGACCTCTGTTAAAACTCCATTTTATATAATAACCCACATCAAGCATGTTTGCTTGGTTGTGCTCCTGAAAGATAGGGCCATCTAAGCCTATGTAAGCTTCTAATCAGATATCAAGAGAACAGGTCCCAGAACACCAACAGAACACCAACACTTGATGCTAGCTTTAGCCAGTGTTATCTGGCTCATGAAAAGGTACAATTACCTTGGGGCCTTTGAGACACTGACAAGCCCCTGTAGGAGGGGTAGTGGGTGGTACTTCCTGGAAAAAAAGGGGATGAAAGAGGCAGGCGTGGGAGGAAGGGCAATCTCCAGAAGAAGGTTGCTAAATAAATAAACAGGGTGGTGTGCAGCTGGCTAGCCACGCCCTCATGACTCTTGTAGGTGCTAGGACACCAGAGGTCCCTAGTCGGATATCTCAGGGGCCACCCTGTACCGTCTGTTCAGCTGCTCCTTCACACGGAGGTTAAGAGTGTGGCAGGAACTGCTGCATTCTACAGAACAAGAAGCTACCCCTGACACCTTGCCCCACCCCCTCACCCCCTCCACTGCAAGGGTGTTATGGAGGCCAGCCTCAAACCCTCCTATTTCCTTCAAGCACCAAGTCACACAGCACTCTCCTCCAGTTTCAAGAGAGGGACTCACCTCTGCCAGGTACAGCACACAGAATTTCAAGTCTTCTGAAGAACCTTGGACGGGAACAGAAAGGAAGGCTTGCATTAGAATTGACCACAGTTGACTGCAGAGTCAGTGCCTTGCTGGGCACAACCAGCTGTCTCACCCAGAAGGCTGTGTGTGGCGCTTCCTGGATCAGCAGGGAGGGAAGGGCAGGTGGGAGAAGCAGGGCAGTCTCCAGAGCAAAGCTCATAGCTCACTAGCCAGGGTCATGCACAGTTGAAAGGTATTTGCCCAAAGGTCAGCCTGCCCCAAGGAATGCTGGAACCACAGCCTTGGGAGAAGCAGCCTGGAGCCTCCTCTGGCCTCAAGCAGCCAGGTACAGGGGGTTGTCCGTGTGTTCCAGAAGGCCTCTTCCTTCCCAAGTCCCCGCAACAAGGGGCACACAGGCAGCAGTGTACCTCCTGGTTTTCTCTTACATATGCCACTGCCTCTGCCATTTTGAAATCCAACAGAGCCATTTGATTCCTGGGTGGGTCTTGTTTCCCACCAAGGAAAGCATGGGTCAAGGAGGGACCTCTCCACTCCCATCTCCGTGCATCATGGGAGACAGCTTCCTGGCAAGGCTGAGGCTCTCCGCATGTTCCACTTCTGGTCTGGGTTCACAAACTCAACCACTTGCAAAGCTGGAAGAATCAGTGGGCTGATCCCTTCTCCTCCTCCACAGGATCTAAGCCGGGAGCTCAAGCCTGAAGATGACCCCAGCTGTTGGGGAAGGCCTGGAGAAGGGCCTTTCTGCGTGAGAACTCCAGGTGGAAAGGAGGTGGGAAAAGCATCTGCAAGGATACAGCGATGGAGACATGCCAGCTGTGTTCAAGGGGCAATGAGCGCAGAAAAGCATAACCATCCCAGCAGGACACCTGCCCTGGTCACTGCAGCCTCTCCTCAAGGACTTGACCACACTCTCTCTTAGGGAGCTTTCATCTGGGCACAGGCCCAGGTTGGAAACTTCTTGCACTTCGAGCAGTCAGCCTCAACAAGCAGGGTGTCATTTTTGAGGGAAGCCACTATCCAGTATATGTAAGAGCAGACACTTGGAATGTCAGGGATCTCTGGAGTACCATGGTACTGCTGGCCAAATGCTGCCCCAAATGCTTCTAAGTATCAGCTCTAGCGCTATGGGTAAGTTGGTGGGAGGTAGGTAGGAGAGTGCTCACTCCAGCTGGCTCCTCACAACAACCCCTCCAGGCAGGGCTGCCAGCACCCACAGTTCATGTGAGAACAAAGGCCTCAATGGGCAAAGTAACTCCCCCAAGCAGTAAGGGAGAGGGCCGAGATTTCAGCCCAGTTCCTTGGCCCACATTCAACCACTGCACAGCCTGTTTCTTAAACACCAAGCTCTAAGTAGACCCTTCAATGCATGCTTGAAGCAAAGAAATTGTCAGACAAACCAAGATTTGTCACAAAAAGAAGGCTATAAGGTAAAAAAATAGAGACTGTGCATCAAGCCAGCTCTGAAAACTGCAGGGAGTAGAACCCTGACCAGGTGAAACCAGGCCCCTCCAGCAAGAGGACGGGCACTTCCCCAGGGCCAGAGCCACTAGGCAGAGCCAGGACTGAATGCTCCTAAAGTAAATGGGGGTCCACTCTGGACTCAGACTAAATCTTTCTACTTCTCTCCTCCTGGAAACGGGAATTACAGAAAGGGTATCCTGCTTCAGAAATCTGTGATGTTTAAATAAAAGTGATCCCCTTGACGGCTGGAGAGATGGCTCAGTGATTAAGAGCACTGGTTGCTCCTGCAGAGGACCCAGGTTTGATTCCCAGCACCCACACGGTGGCTAACAAACCAGCTATAACTCCAGTTCCAGAGGATCCAACGCCCTCTTCTGACCTCGGTGGGCATTGCATGACACAGGTGCACTTACCTACATGCAGGCGATACACTCATACACATAAAAGAAAAACAATAAAATAAAAATAAATAAAAAAGTGATCCCTAAGCCTCTGCTGTTTCCTTGTTTTTTGAGAGCGACACAAAGGGGGGTGGTTTAAAACATGCTGAGCTGTTTCTTAGTCTAAGGGAGAGCCACCAAGATCCATGTAGGAGAATAATGGAGATTGAGTTTGCAAGCACTAAGGATAAAAAAGGCTCTAGAAGGGTGGGGAGGACCAGGAAATGAGAGACCTGGGGAGAGAGAAGCTGAGGCTGGGAAGCACACCCTCAGATGCTTCCTGCACCAGGGAACCACTGATGGATTACCTTGACAAGTTCTCTGTGTTGTGACCAGCCCCCACCCACCCTGACCTGCTACATTGCTGCAAACTCTCCCTGGCACCTGCCCCACATCACAGCCTTTTGCTGGCAGCACTGACAGCAGGATGGAAGGGGGACAGTACTCAGCATAATTCAGAGCCTCATAAAAAGAATGACAAACTGAGGGAACCAAGGGCACCAGGTGGGAACAGCTGTGGCTGCAAATAGGTTGACTGAGGAGAGAACCTCTGCCCTGCTAGAACAAGAACCCTGTGGTTGGTATGAGGAGAAGGAATGCTGAGGCAGCACATATTGGGTCTTCCTAAAATTGCACTAACTGCCTCTGCCATTTTGAAACTCAACAGGGAATTATTAGTTCCAGAGTAGACCTAGCTTGTTGGCAAGTAATACAAAGACCATGCAGGGGAGTCCCCAATCACAGGCTAGGTGGAGCCCAAAGAAAGCTTCCTGGCCTATGTGTGCCTCTCCATTATTTTTCCAGAGAATCTCTTACACTTGAGATCCCAGCTCAACTCTTCACCAATCCTTCTCTAGTAGAGGCAGACCAACAGAGCTCTTGTCTCCATTTTCCAAATATAAAGCCAGGCCCAGGGAGGGAGAACAAATCACATGAACGGTAAGTGACAGAGCTGAGACTTGAACCCAAGACAGCCCCGCCCCCAAAGCCTGGATTCATAACCCCAAGTCATAGTCCTGCCCTGTCACAGGCTTATCCCTGTGTCATTCCAGCAGGCTGTGAGTTCCAGAGTGGAGAGACCTCTTCTGCAGCTCTCACCGCAGGCGTCAGCACCAAGTGGACACTGAGGATGACTTAGAAAATGTCAAGCTAGAGCTAACTGTAAGCATTCCCGAAGCTGGGGCCACAGCAGCTGAGTTTCCCAGCTGGAAACCAGGCTCTACAATGTGCCTGGAGAGCCCATTAGTCAGATGGACATTCCCAGGCCACGTCTGAGACGAGGTCAACCAGAAAGACACACTGTGGGTATGTTGCTGGCTGCCTAGGAGGCAGAAACACAAAGAGTAGCAAAACCAGAGGGCAGCGGTGGCAGGAAGAGACTACAATGGGCCCCGGCTGACCGGAGGTGTCCCAATTGTTAGCACCAGCTCTCCACCTGTTCCCATTACACTGCCATTCAGTCCTGATGAAGCTTTGGGGGAGCTGGGCAAGAGGAGGGTAGACATGGTTGAAGTGGCCACCAGTGTGAAGCCCTGGGTTGGGGGTGGGGGGTGGGGGAGGACATTCCAGCTCCCAAGTTAAGGCAATGCTTCTGGTCTCATTCAACCAGTTATAAAAATAAACATTCATTGGACACCTATGATATGCCACGTTCCCTACTGAGTCCCGGGACTATAATTGGCTAACAGAGCCAGGCCCAGGCAAACAAGTCACGAGGGAGTCCTTGGTCCCAGGGGCGGGGTGGATTCTGCCCTGCCAAAGAGCAGCCCTTACCAGCCCCAACCCACCAGGGAAGCTGGATGCCTTCCTTGTTTACCACTTTTTTGGTCCCCAAATTGAACTCTGCATATATGTCAACTTGAAGGCGACAGGAAATCTAGGAGTTTCATGCCATGGGGAAACTTAATCAGAGACCATTCTGGCACCAGACACTCCATCGAAACCCCAAATGCATCTCTTAAAAGCCTCACTCCAGCCCCTGCTGCTGCAGTGGGCCTCTTGGGGCATGCAGGAGGGGCCAGGAAACCAGGCGCCAGCCTCAGAACGTTGGGTCCCTGCAGCTCAGACTCTGGCTACAGCAGAAGCCGGTACTGGGCTTCAGTGGGTCTAGGGACCTGTCTCAGGAAAGCCTGGGGGAAGGGGAGGGTCACAAGAGCTCCTCTGGTGCCTGGAAAGAAATCTAAACCCCTGGAACATGTATCTTGATTGCTCACTGTCTCTGAGCCATTTCCTTCACTCCAGTAGCTCCAAGTCCCCAAATGCTACCCTCAAATCCTCTCAGGCCTATGTTATCTGCCCCCAAAATCCAAAACAGGTACACTTCTCCCATGCCAACCTCACAAGCCCTCATGTCAGTGATCAGCTCTCATGAGGTGTGATGCCTGAGCCACCCATCCTCAGCCCTCACCTAGCTGCCCCACCATCTGCAAGTAGATGTGGTCTCTGCACCTTGAAAACCACATCTGATGCAACCCAGAGATCTAGACAGCTCCTTTGCACCCCTAGGCTCACACCACTTACCCTGAACACTGCTACCTGGTGGAGGATGGAATGCCCGCCTCCCTCAAACTGCAAGTGCAGGGCCTGGGGGCTCGAGAAAGGGAAACCCAGCCAATTTCCAGTCCAGGACCCCCTCAGTCAGTCTGGAAGCAGGATAGTATGAGTGCTAGCCAGCTTCTCATGGCAGCCCTGGGGGTTCCACCTGAGAATGTCAGAGCTAGGAGGGAACTCAAAGGGCTGGTCCAACCCTTACTTCACAGAAAAACTGTGAAAACAAATAAGGAAAGGGCCGGCAGAGATTATGTAGTATATTGTGACAATAGCAAGGCCAGGTCCAAGCTCCCAAACCTGCAGCCACTGCCCTCTCCACCCTCCATTCCCCAGGCTCCACCCAAAAGGCAGCCAGCTGGAGCCCCCACTTCTTTTGCTTCCCTCCATTTAGCAGAAGCTAAACCAGTGAGGGGCCTGGGTTTGTGCCCCTGAATCTGTGATATGCACCACAGTCAGGACTCAGGTGATTTGTGTATCCAGGGCATGGTACTTAGCACAGCCTCGCTGGGTGCTTCTCCAGTTTGACTGGGTCACAGGTCAACTGAGCCAGGGCAGGGTAGGGAAGCAGGGAAACAGGGCTGGCTATACTAAGCATGCCTGTGTAAGTTCAGTGAGCACAGGGGAAGCCCAGTGCCATGGCACAGGGGAGGATGGGAAGGGAGCAGAAGCCAAGGACAGAGACACTGGAGAGCACAGGAGAGTCACCTGGAAAACCAGTACTGGTACCCAAGAAGCTCAGAGACCCACCCCCGCCTACTGCCCCAGCTGGCCCTGAGAGTGGTAACTTGTTCTCCCCTTAGTGGCCACCCTTGTTCATTTGTCAGTGGTCTCCACGGTCCTTGGGTGGGACAGAGCCATCGAGGGAAAGCTGTGAGGGAACTCCCCATGGGGAGGCAAGAACACTGGTTCTCTCCTTGGCCAGTTCCCAAGGAGGCACAACAGCCAGGGCACTGAACACACAGGATGGCTTTGCAGGCAGTCAGGAAGTTTTCCTGGAGCAAAACCCGCCAAAACAGAATTCTTTCACGGGTAATATTTTCCTCCCTGCCCCTATTGCCCTGAGCTTACACAGGTCTGTTGTTGTTTGCATAATCTGGGAGAGGAAACCGAGCCCCTTTCAGCCTAGACCTCAGGCGCCAAAGCCTGCTGCTGGACAGATATTCCCAGCTGGCTTTCCGTTCCCTGGTCCCCCCAGTGGAAAGTTTTGGGTTAGAAATTCTCAGCTTGCTCCTGTATGCTACGGTCACCAGCCCCAAGGAAGGAGACTTAGCTTCTAAGGCTCTGGCTAGGGTCAAAAACCTGGCTGAGGAAGGCACTGTCTATAAATACATGGTAGTGAGCATCTATTGGGTACCTGTTTGGGGCCAGGCATTTGGCATAAATGATCTGAGCCCAACAACTTTCTGAAGTGCTATTACTGTCCTCCTTTACAGAGAGGAAACAGGCTCAGAGAAGTGAAATTGACTCGTCCAAGGTCATACCACCGGAAGTGAGGGCCAAGTCAAGGCTTGGAGGCAGGTCTGTGAATCGGAAGTTCTTCCCACCCTACTCCATAGCCTCCCTGGAAGGTCTCTAGAATTGAAAGAAACTGCCTAGCTGGCTTAGGGTGGAGCAGCAGTGTCTGACATCCTGGCAGCCCCAGGCAGAGCTGACAGCAAGCACTCAAATGCCCTGCTGATACTGGCAGCCAGGTTCCAAGAGACGGGAACCTCGTGCTGCTTAAGCAGTGGCCCACTCACCTTCCTGCAGCTTCACACTCTGGAGGTAGAGGGGGTTCCTCAGGACCGTGCAGCGGCCCGGTTCCTCCTCCTTTGTAAAGAGCAGCAGGTCAGAGTAGGCAAACAGTGTCACCTGCATAGGGAGAGGGTAAACAGAACTAGCTATTCCACTGTCCCCAGACATGGGGAGCCACGCAGTCCCCTAGAGATCTGGGAGACACATCCACATGCCATGTCTAGCAGAACCAGAAGCAACTCCAAGTGTGGCCCTGCCAATGGCAGAGACCTGCCCTGTCCCCTGGTCTTCTGTACTTCACTTCCTTGAAGTAGGAAGAATAAACCAGAAGGAACATAACTCTGTGGGCCTTGGGCCTTGTAGCAACCCAGAGGCCCCCGCAGGTCCCCCTCACCTGGAGGAACCTTTCTCAGGCCCCAGGGTCCCCAGACCATACCCCGCACCTGGCTTCTTCTGAAGCTTCAACAAGTTCTGTAGCATGAAGTGTCGTGAGGTAATATTACCAAACTTCTCACAGATATTTTTTAAGCGTGTTAATTACGCATCGGTTCAAGAAAACACCAGTTATTTACATTCCAATACAGGCCTGTACATAACTGTTAATCTCCTTTATGTTCCAAAAAGAAAGGAAACACTATTTTTAGACTTTATAGGTAAACTGACAGACATGCTCAGCATATTTTATGCTAAAAAAAAGTCCACTTGATCCTCTGCTGCCACTAAAGTTTACCCTGTTCTTTGTTTTGTTAATCCTGCAGTGGCCTTTAGTTAAAAGCAATAAAATTCGATTTTAGATTCTTCAAAAGAAATGGCAAAGTAATTAATTAAAGGAACTTCTCTTTTTAAATATTTTATTTATTTTTTTATGTGTATAAATGTATTGCCTGCATATATATAAGTGCATCTGAGTCGTGCAATGCCTGAGAAAGTCAGAAGAAGGCATCAGATTCCCCTGGAACTGGAATTAAGGATGGTTGTTAGGCACTATGTGGGTGCTGGGAATTGAACCCGGGTCCTCTACAAGAGCAGCCTGTACTCTTAACCACTGAGCCATCTCTCCAGCCCTGTGGGAACTTCTCTTTAAGGGGCCAAACTCAAAAGCAAGAAGAATCAGCAAAAGGGCTTGGCGAGTACCAAGGGGCACCGCCCATTCTGAGGAGCACAGTGAGCGTATGCTGGTTTGTTAGTGATGTTTAGAAAGCCAACAATTTGACATTTAACTAGCAAACTGTTTAAGACAATCCCACAGTTCTACTTCTGAGACTCTTTCCTACAGAAGTACTTACAAGAATATATAAATATGAACATATAAGGAAGTTCTCAGTGGCATTTCTGTAATTGGAAAAAGAAAAAAAGAAAGAAAAGCAGGCATCATTGTACATATCTACAAACCCAACAGTCTGGTAGCTGAGGCAGAAGTATGAGTTCCAGGCCATCCCAGGGTACACAATGAACTCTAGAGTAGCCTTGGCTACATAGTGAGAACTTGTGTCAAAAAATGCACATATTGCCCAGTGTGGTGGCACACACCTTTAATCCCAGCACTCAGGAGGCAGAGGCAGGCAGAGCTCTGTGAGTTCGAGACCAGCCTGATCTACATAGTGAGTTCCAAGCCAGCAGGGGCTAGAGGGACAAAAAGACAAAAAAAAAAAAAAAAAAAAGGGAAACAAACATAAAAAATATTTAA